GGGGTGTTGTCATTTTCTCCCAAAACAAGAACGCTCAGAGGAACGTCACTATTGGTGTTTTACTGATGTGGTTGCAGATTTACAGATTTCGGATAAAGCGGATGAAGATGGATGGATGGATGGATGGATGGATGGATGGTTACAGATTTCAATGGTTTGACCCATATGAACCCACACCCTGTTAAAGTTTCAACATTAACTCTACCATAGTTTTCCTGACAGTCTGGGCTCTCATGGGTCAAAGGTGTTTTTCAGCCCTGAAAGGGTCATATGGCCGGCTGAAGATTGATAAATGCTGGCAAGACCGCATAAAGTGAAAAGAGCCAAATTTGGGCCCAGCCCTAGAGTTTAAAGGTAAAATGATGCACAGCTTCATCAACATATTAGCTGAGGTTACTAAGAATCAGCTGATTGTCAGGGTTGCCACAGGCTGACGGTCTGTACAGGCTGGATCCCGACATTCACCTGGAATAAGGCCTGAATCGGTAGAATGAGTTGAAGTAACTGCATGGATGGATGGCAGACACTTACTTTTCATGGAGTGGGCTTTTTGAGTGTCCTGAAGACAGCTCAGTGACACCTGGACTTAACCCATAATGGCAGCTTTCTCTGTTTTCCTCACAGCCACTGGATAAATGACAGACTCTAAAAAAGCGTATTGATATTTGAATATTCATAATATGAATCAAAATGTGGGATGAGTGGACAAAGGATTAAACAACTGTGCAGTCTACAAACCCAGGTCAGCACAGTCACAGGGAGTTGCAACTGTTGAGAGATTTAAATGATATCCACAGTATTGATACTAGCGCTGGCATTGGTATTGGATCTATACTATGATCGATCGTTTGTTTGTAGCCTCTAAGTTGAGTATGTAGCGCACCGATTAATGTTAAATTCATTGTGTTTATGCACTGTGAGAAATGGCTGAACCTGTGCTGTCGCATCTATGTTATCTATAAGCCTCAAACACATTTAAACACACGTCAGAGACGAGCACAGCTCCAAAAACCCAAAACATGAATGAAAAGTGTGTTTTCTTATTGCTGTACCAATCCCAGCGTTTAGTTTGCAGATTCTTCCCAACCTCTCTCCGCTGCACGTGAAAGGTCAAAGTATCGGTATCGGTGTCACTGCCAGTGTTGCCAACGTAGCGACTTTGCCACACATCTGTTCGACCAACTGGCGTTGGTCGAACAGATGTGTGGCAGTCTTGCGTTTCAGGAGCTGCTACCGACAAACCAGCAAAAAAACACCAAATGTGTCA